ACAGAGCAAGGAGGGCAGAAGGGGGAGCCACTGCGCGTGTGCTTTTCTGAAAAGAGAGACAAGATCAGGCCTTTATTCCCCGAACTAGCTTGTCACCAGGACTGTGTATTTCTATCCTAAATGCCGAATTAAGCTCCTAAATTAGGAGGAAGCAAACAACATTCCAAATTCCTCCCCATAAAAAGGAAACTACATGGTAACTGGGTTTATTTAAACTCTTGGAGTTTAGTGACTTTCTGCTAATGTCTGCCTTTTTTAGTGGGGTGAGCAGCAGCAATTACACTTAAACTCCTCAACCGACAGAATCAGGATGACCCCCAGCCGAGTAACACTAGGAAACGCTGGTAAAGCTCAGCCAAAATGACTACAAAGACAAAGTGATAAAGACTCACAGAGTGTACATGAGTTCACAAAGAATGCAATCCAAGAGAATCTGAAGGAGGAATTCACATTTCTTAAAGCCACAGAGGGAGCCTCCGGGAACAGCTCCCTCTGCTCCAGCAGGGCGGCCCAGGGAGAGTGCCCGGCACAGACCCACCAGGCCATTTGGAGAGGGGACGCCCGGCAGGACTGCCGTCTGGCCCCGATGCCAGGTGAGGCCCTTCTTGCTCCTTCCTAAGATTCCAGCAGCGAAAGCAGTTTGGTGCTCGAAGCTGCACGGCCTAGCAGTCAGCACACACACTGTCCTACTTGCTCATTGGCATGGAGGAGCCTCTCAACTTACCTGGGGTTAAGGCCCCTCAGACCCATCATAAGTCAAACAGATCTTACGTTGAAAATGCATTTACTACACCTGACCTGCCGTACCTCACTGCTTAGCCACGCCGCCGGGAAGCGTGCTCAGACACGGACACTGGCCTGGGCTTGGACAACCATCTTGAATTTCAGCCCCAGGGTAATGGGATGGAAAACACAAGATCCCAAGGGCGTGTGGTGCCCTGTGGATGCCTGTTCTTACCCTCGCTACCCGAGGTGCCCTGCCCAGCAGCACAGGAGGGACGCCGCCTCTCACCAACATTTAGCACTCCAAATATGGCTTTCCCGAATGCGTATTGCTGTCACACCATTGTAAAACCGAACCGTCCTGACGGAGTTATCTGTACTTACTTATTTACTTTTTTCTCTTCCATTCCTAACACAATGCACAGCACCTACTAAAGAGTGAACAAATATGTACTCGATAACGAGTGAATAAACAAAGGTTAAGAGAAAAAGGGCCCAAGGTGCTAGGAGCTATTTAGCAAGTGCCTCTCGCTAACTCCTTGGTCCCCCAGGGAAAGGGGGCCAAGCTGTGGGGTGAGGAGCGAGACCGCTCCTCAGGGGTATGGCGTGGGGGCAGAATGAGGCCACGTTCTGGTGATCACCACGGGGAGAAGCAGCAACACAACTCCACAGCCCCTCGTGGTCACTGCCCAGGTCTAGATGCCAGGTGTCATCTGACCACTGACTCTGATTCGGCACATGGTCACCGGACTCACCGAGGAAACCCCGCTCCCTTCCCGGGAGCCCACAGGCGGCATGAGCTCCTGCTACACCTGCTGCTAGGGCAGCTGTCATCAGTGCCAACTGCAGCAAGTGTCTTATCAGCAGTGCCAGGCAAACACAAAACCCAGCACACCCAACGGAGGATTCGAGAGAAGTCAGGGACGCACCATCTCCCATCTTCCAGGCGCAGCAGGACTTGCGGACAGTAAGGGGGTGACACCCCCAGGCTAGCGAGACCAGGCCCACAGGGACCAGAGGGACCAGACCCGGCAGGCCCTGTAACCATAGCTGGCTGGCAGGGAGGCCACGAATCGCCGTGAGCTGCTCACCACACCCAGAGCAGCTCTGGCAACACAACCAGCGCAGGGAGCTGGCTCTCCCAGGCCCTCTCATTCCCCGGAGGTCATTCCCAGAGCACAGGGCAGGTGGCGCAGGGGCTGGAGAGCACAGACCGTCTTCTCAGTGGCCACCTCCCCGTAAACACGCACACAGCGGGAAGGCCTGCCAGCTCACCGAACCCGCACCTCCCGGGCGGCCCGCAGAGCAGCCCTAAACACAGCACCTCCTGGAGTTCCCACTCCCCTCCCGCTGGGGGAAGGGCGGCGGGCGTCCAAGAGCATCCAGTGACTTCGGTCACCTCTGCATCCCCGAGAGTAAACAGACGGCTCTTTACCTACAATGAATCATATCTGAGACCACTCCCTTCCCTCCACTCAAAGGGCACCTCTTCCAACCCCATCATTATACTTATCACGATGGACTGTAACCTCTTATTTCTCCTCTCTCATCAGACCCCGAGCGCCTACCGGGCAGGGGCAGTGTTAGTCATCTCTGTGCCCCTCGCCCCTCCCGGGGACCGGGCAGAGGGAGCCTTCCTCCAGCACACACCGAGCCCATTCCTGGCCTCGGCGCCCACTTGCTGGCCACCTGAAGCCCTGGGGGTAAAGCCTGGGAAGAGCCTCAGCAAGGAAGCACCTGTGGGTGTTATTCGGCCATGGCTTCACACCTGGACAAACACACAGCCTCCCGTGCCCTCGAGGTGCCGTGGCCGCTCCTGCAATCCCCGAGCTCATCGCCACGACGGCGGGAAAGAGGGTGAGACACCCTCCCCCAGAAGGAGCCACCCGCAGCCTCTCCGAGCGCTGTCAGGCCGACCCTCTGACGCCAGGAAGAACCCGGGTGTGGGATTCGTTTTCCAGAGATGATGCCTTGACTTGGGGGCAGAAATGCTTGCTTGCACGCACACATGTGCCCACACATCACACACAGAGGACACGTCTAATGGTCACCTTCTGTAAAGCGAAAAAGCAGCCATGATACACAGCCCCACAGCACTGCCCAGAACAGTGGGCACACCGCACCACGTGGGATGGGGCATGTTCATGTCCTAGCTGCGACCCTGCTCACACAGCCCGCACGTGGGAAGTGCTCCGTCAGCCCTCACCTGCAGGCCTCCCCACGTGGGAAGAAAGCCCATGCCAGGCTCACGCCCTCTCCGCTCCCAGGGCTTCTGGCTGCCCACCTCCTGCCGCCAGGACGGGGAACGTAAAGGACAGCCTCCCCGAGAAAGGAGTTTGCCATAACACAGACTGTTTTCCCGAACTCTGCACGGACAGGTTCTCTGCTGCCCCGGGTCCCCTCACTGCTGTCTGCCAGCGGGTGTGGTTGCCTCTGTCACCTCGGAACCACATTGAACCGGCAGTACTGCATTTCTGGTCAGAAAAGGGGGTGGGGGTCGTCACCACACACTGAACTAAGAGACTCTAGTCTCAAAAACAGACAAAACACGTTTCAGATAGATCTTTTCCTGAATCTACCAAAAGCATAAACCCCAGACCAAGCCTCTTCCAAAACCATCACAGGCATTTAGCCCCAGGCCAGTCTTATCTTTCTGAGCCGAGGATGGATAGATATCCCATGACTGCCCTTAGCTCACACTGCCCTTAGTTTAGCATCCCCCTGGGAGCAGACCCCGGGCCACCCTCTCTCAGACCGGCCTGCACACGGTCCCTCCCATGTGCACGTGTGTAAAAAGCAAACAGAAGGGACACCCACCGTATGGCCTGCGTGTAACAGCATGAGCCTGAGCACCTGAGCGTAAAGTTTCACCTGCCAACAGCACAGATATCTCTCTCTCTCTCTCTCTCTCTCTCTCTCTCTCACACACACACACACACACACACACACACACACACACACACACGTCTGTCTTGTGAGGTCGGAACTGGGGGAGGTGGCGTGTCACCTGGCAGTGGCGGGGTACCACCCCGTACTTCAGAATTACCCGGATTAGTCCTGCCTGAAACTTCCTCTTCCTCCGTGAAAGTATAGGTGAAGGGTAAGGACATCGAGTGAAAGTAAAAACCCATCTTAAAATTTAACATCTCTGCCAAAGGTAAGCTTTTTGTTGGAAATAAGTAAACGTTAACATACTTTACTGTAAGGATAAACGTCCTGACGCCTGTCTCTCTATAAAAGTGGTGCCCATTCCTAACCTTGCTTCCCAGAGGTCCCTGCGGGGCAGCGCGGGGTCCTGGTTCACATCCGTAACCGAGACGGTTTCCTCCAGAGACCGGCCAGGGAACAGTGTGGAGTGCCCTGCCGGCTGCCCTGCACCGGGAGCTCTCTGAGGCCACGGACCTGCCACCTGGGTGCTCCCTCTGAGGCCACGGACCTGCCACCTGGGTGCTCCCTCTGAGGCCACGGACCTGCTCCCGGGGTACTCTGAGGCCACGGACCTGCCCCCGGGGTGCTCCCTCTGAGGCCACGGACCTGCCCCCGGGGTGCTCCCTCTGAGGCCACGGACCTGCTCCCGGGGTACTCTGAGGTCACGGACCTGCCCCCGGGGTGCTCCCTCTGAGGTCACGGACCTGCCCCCGGGGTGCTCCCTCTGAGGCCACGGACCTGCCACCTGGGTGCTCCCTCTGAGGTCACGGACCTGCTCCCGGGGTGCTCTGAGGCCACGGACCTGCCACCTGGGTGCTCCCTCAGCAGCCACGGACCTGGGTGCTCTGAGGCCACGGACCTGCCACCTGGGTGCTCCCTCTGAGGTCACGGACCTGCCCCCGGGGTGCTTCCTCAGCGGCCACGGACCTGCCACCCAGAACCTGCCTGGCCTGCGGGGGCTGCGCGCACCTCCCGTCCCCCGGCCTCCATGCACCGGGCCCGGCACCCGGCCGGCACCCACGCCGGGAAGGGGAAGGGCCCCGCACCGGCTCCGCAGGCGGGAGCACCGCAGGCGGGAGCACCGCAGCGCGGGCGGAGCGCAGGCAGGTGAGGCGGGCAGCGGGGGTGTGGGCGCCCAAGCAAAGCAAGCTCGCGGCCCGGGAAAGCTGGCCCCCGCCCGCGCCGGCGGCCCCGCCGCGGCCCTCCTCAGGGCGGCCCGGCGGAGGGAGCGGCCGCGGCGGGGCTGCCGGCAGCGCGGGGCGGGGGCGCACTGGCCGGAGCGGCGGCGGCGGCGGCGGCGGCGGCGAAGCGGGTCCCGCGGGCGGGCGGGCGGGCGGGCGCGGACCTACCGAGCAGCACACACAGCATGTCCAGCGCCACGAACGGCAGCCGCGTCTTGTCGAACATGGTGGCGGCCGGGCGGGCGGCAATGGCGCCGGACCCTCCCCTCAGCGCCGCTCCTCCGACCTGCGCCGCCGGGCCTGAGCGCCGCCAGCCCGCCGGAGCCCGCACTCCCAACAGGCGGGGCCCGCGCGGGCTTTAAGGGCGGGCGGGGCGGGGGGCGGGAGGGCGCGGGCGGCGGCGGCCTCGCGGGCGCAGCGAGCGCGGGGGCGGGGCTGCGGCCGCCGCTCCGGCCAATCAGCGCCGAGGCCACGCCCCGGCGGAGCCCGCCCCCAGCAGGCCGCGCGGCGCGGGCGGGGCGGGGGCGTCTCCCACGCGGTGCGTTGCGGGCGGCGGCGCTGCGACCTGCGCCTGGGCCGCCCGGACCCCGGGGCCGCCGCCGGCTTCCCCGCACCCGGCGCAGGGCCGGCGCCTGCGGCTGCCCTCCCGCCCGCGAGGCCTCCGCCGGGGCCTGCGCGTCAGGCCGGACCTGGCACCTCGGCGGGGCTGAGCGGCCGGCGCCGCCCCTCCTCCCGCGGGGGCCCTCGGCCGCCCGGGGCCGCCGGCCCCGCTGCCCCGCGGTAGTTTTCCACCCGCCCGGCGCCGTCCTGGCCGGTCCCGGAGCCCACACCGGCCTCCGCGGCCGGAGCCAGTGTCCGCGGCTTCTCTCCCGCCGCAGCGGCACGCGCTCCTGGCGCCGGAGCAACCCGGGAGATGGCGCCTCAGTTTCCTGATCTGGGAAAGGGGCTGTTGCTCATCCCTGCGCCGTGCTCCCGGCAGAGCCGGGAAGCCGGGAAGAGTGATTGAGTTATAGAAGGTTAATGACCGCGGCCGGCGTGGCTCCGGCTGGGGCTGACCTCTGACCCCGGAGGTCACAGGTCCATTCCTGGCTGAGCGCTGACCTCTGACCCCGGAGGTCACAGGTCCATTCCTGGCTGAGCGCTGACCTCTGACCCCGGAGGTCACAGGTCCATTCCAGTGCGGGCATAGGCCCGGGCTGGGCTCGACGCTGGGGCGGGTGGGAGGAGGCAGCCGAGCAATAATTCTCATCACTGATGTTTCTCCCTCTCCCTCTGTGAAATCAATGTTTTTTTTAAACAGCCCTCTATAGATGTTCATGATCAGTCTTTCCTTCTCACTCACTCCTCATACAAATACGTAAGATGCCGATGGAAAACTGGACTCCCTGCTTCTAAAACGCTTCTTGCGAAACGCCCCTGAAATAAAATCAATGGAGAGAGAGCATGCTGCCCTGGGGAGTCTGAGTACCGCCTGATCCCCCGCAGCCAAACACGTGTTGGGAGAAGCAGGCTTTTCTGGGAAAGGAATGTGATTTTGGGGTTGCACCTTTGTTTTTTATCTTTTAAAAGCTTCGGGCAGTTTATCCCTGAGATAGCTGTGCCTCCTTCCTTCTGTGGCTTCTCTGACTTCCGGGTTAAAAGGCCCCCCCAGATGGCAAGGCCACAGAAATGGAACTATTATGAGGTGTTCCTTCCAAGCACCTTGATGGGAAGTGTGGGCCAGGCACCGTCTAGGGATGGCGTTTTATTCAAACAGCTTTTGAAATAAGTAAACATTTACTTTTGAAATACTTTTTCAGAAGCGAGCATTTAAAGAATCTTACGCATATGTTTGTTGTTTGCTCACTCATTTACTCAGCATCTATGGAGCCCCCAGTACAGGAGACGCCCTGCACAGTGGGGGCAGACTTAGACGAGGGAGACAGGACTCTGCCCCGTCTGCAGCGGGAGGAAGCCTGGCTTGGGGTGAAGTGGGTAGCGTGCTGGCAGTGCATGGGTACACAGTAAGCACACGGAGAGGAGTGGGATTTGCAGGGAGCTCTGGAAAGGTCCCAGAGTGACACATGCCTGGTACTTCCCTTCTCTCTCCCACGCCAGCAGGCATTTTCTTAGGGGAGAAGGCGGTAAAGAAATTGATAGCTCTGACCGGTTTGGCTCAGTGGATAGAGCCTCGGTCTTCGGACTGAAGGGTCCTGGGTTCGGTTCCAGCCAGAGGCATGTGCCTTGGTTGCGGGCACGTCCCCATTGGGGGGCGTGCAGGAGGCAGCTGATGGATGTTTCTCTCTCTCATGGACGATGTTTCTGGCTCTCTGTCCCTCTTCCTTCCTCTCTGTGGAGAGTCAATAAAATATATTAAAAGAAATAGTTGATATATTAACAGATTTTTTTTCTTTGCCCTTTGGAAGAGTTACAGAGAACAGCTTTAAAAATAGATCAGCAAAACGAAGCCCATTAAAATGTGTCAAGTCATGCTGGCCTGGGTTGAAAAGGGGACCTGTGACTTGTGCCCGTGACAGCAACGCAGGCCCCGCTGAGGAGGAGGCCTGGGCAGCGTGGTTCTGTTTTGATTCTGGCTTTCTGTTCTGCTTCATCACCAAGCGTCCTGAAGAGGAGACGGGCTTTTCCGGCCTCCATTTTCACTTTCTCTTCAGACTCTGGGTCCTCCCTCTGCTCCCCTCCTCTGTGTGCCGTCACCGTCCTCTTGCTGGGCTTCCTCCCGCTCGTCCCCACAGCTGCTGCTTGTTTCATCCATGTCTGCAAAGCCATGACGGCCTGCCCTTCGGTGCTGGGTTTGCATGTGCTCACGTCCCTTCTCCCCACCTGCACGGAAGCAGCCGAGTCTCTCTCCTTCTTCTTCGCAGGGAGCATCGTGAACTCAGACAACGGACAGTGCCTCCTTCCCTAGTGTGTTTGCCGCGCCCCACCCCCCACAATGCACGCACATTATAGCCCTCTTAACACACACTGCCACATGGTTGGTGTCTCACCCTATTAAAGTTTCATGTGATGCCTGACACACAAATCTAGAGAATGCAGACTATAGAAGGAGATCCTGGAGACAGTAATATCACCAGCAGCTGCGAGCCCACTGCTGGCTTTAATACCTGCTCCACCTCAGCGTCATCGACTCTGTGCGCTCCGGCCCTTCACTCCCTGCTGCGGGCCAGGTGGCCGCTCCTCTGAATTTCCTGTTTATCTCCTGGTTCCGTCATTTCTGCACGTGTGTGTACCTCTGAAAGTATGTATTGTTTTTTAGCTTTTAAAAACATTACACCGTCTATGCAATCATTGGCCCTTGATTTTTTTTCACTCAGAATTACCTTTTTCCCCCCTATATATATTTTTTTACTGAGAGGAAGGGAGAGGGAGAGAGAGAGAGAAACATCTATGATGGGAAATAACCATGGATCGGCTGCCTCCTGTACGTCCTACACTGGGGATCGAGCCCGCAACCCAGGCCTGTGCCCTGACCAGGAATCGAATTGTGACTTCCTGGTTCATAGTTCAAGGCTCAACCACTGAGCCACACCGGCCGGGCAGAATGCCCCTTCTTGCATTCCTGTTGCTGCAGCAGTTGTAGTCTGCCATATGGACACACTGCCTTCATCCTTCTGACAGCGAGCACCGGGTTATTTCTGCTTTTGAGGTTGCAGACATGCTGCTGTGTGTCTGCCCCTGCGGGGAGCGGGTCGCTGGGGGTACGCCCTCCTCTGGCCCCCCAGATGACCCCAGATGTCTCCCTAGGGGTCACACTGTTTTACCCTCCCCTCGCCAGGGTGGGTAAGACTCTGCATTTTCACCAGCACATCTCACTTTTTGAGTTTTTTTTTATCGCTGCTAATTTGGTGGGCATACTGTGCATCTCAGTACTGCCACCATTTACTTCCACAATCACTCACGTGGTTGGACATCTTTTCCTGAAGGTATTCGCTGTCACTTGCCTACTCCCGTCTTCTGCCCGTTTTCCTATTGGGTTATCTTACTTTTCCCGAGGGGTGCCAGTTCTTGGTGCATCTGCGACACAGGTTCTTGGTGCGATCACATCTCGCCTCCCTCCGGGTGGCTCTGCGGCAGCATTTTCTAAACGTGATGGAAGCAGCCGAAACCGGTGTGGCTCAGCGGATAGAGCGTCAGCCTGCGGACTGAAGGGTCCCAGGTTCGATTCAGGTCAAGGGCATATACCTTGGTTGCAGGCATATCCCCAGTGGGGGGTGTGCAAGAGGCAGCTGATTGATGATTCTCTCTCATCGGTGTTTCTAACTCTCTATCCCTCTCCCCTCCTCTCTGTAAAAAAAAAAAAAAAAAAAAAAAAAAAAAAAAAAATCAATATGTTTAAAAAATAAAAATTAAAAAATAAACGTGATGGAAGCAGAAGTCTCCTGACAGGATTCTGGGCGGGACTCGCTCCCCTGACCGAGGGGAAGCTGAGTCCTGCCTTCCTGTTGCCCGTCCTTGGCGGGGACACAGTGGTTTGGTTTGTGAACACGGGAAGGGCCTGGGGGTGGGGAGAAGATGAGGACAGGGTCGAGGACTGGGTCCCTGGTCCTCCTAGTGTTGAGGGTAGCAGCTCGGCCCCTTAGGGATTCAGGTCAGAGTCTCAGAGCCAGCGCTGGTTCAGGCTCCCGCACTGTGGATCCTGTTACCGAGAAACCACACGCCATTTATTCTGAGACAGCCCTGTGCTGGCGCTAACGCAGCGGAATGTCTGGTCCCTGCGGCCACAGAGCCCGCGGAGAACAGGCTGGGTCGATGGAAAGAGAAAATGCCGGGAATGAGCTCAGAAGATGCAGAGCCGTCTGAGTACAGAGGCCACGCAGAGGGCAGAGCCTGAAGCCCTGAGGAGGCAAAGCCTGGAAACAAGGACTCACATTGAGGGCTCGTGGAAGGTTCTAGAAGGAAAGTTTGTTGCTAAAAAGTGTGTCCGGAGGAAAGAAAAATGGCTAAAAATACAGAGTGACTCACTGAAGACAGTCTTCTATTTTTTTTTTTTTTTATCAATTCTTTTTTAAATTATTGGTACTAATACAGATGTTCCCCAGTCCCTCCCCCAGCCCACCCCTCTCTCTGGCAGCCCCCACGCTGCAGTCTGTGCCATGGCTGTGCGTATATGGCTTTGGTTCATCCCTTTACCTTTTTTTTTTTTTTTTTTTAATATATTTTATTGATTTCTTTACAGAGAGGAAGGGAGAGGGACAGAGAGCTAGGAACACAGATGAGAGAGAAACA